AATTGCGAGTTGTAGTCATAAATAGTAAGAAAACAGGATAAAATAAATAAAAAATAAAATATACTGCTTGACTTAAAAAGGGTACAACTTTTTCTTTTTCATTTACTTCATCAGGTAAAAAATAAAATAAAAATATTTATATAATTCCTCTTTTTAAACAAAATGGTTTAAAAATATTATGGGAGATATAATTAGTTAAGAGTTTTTGAGTAAAGTAGTAAGGAATATAATTAGTTTGTAGCTTATTAACATGATGAAACTAATCAGGTCTGAAAAGTTGATTGATTAACTCTTGTGATTTGTCTTGTTTAATCATTTTGAGAATGAAAATATATAATAATTTTTAATTAAAATTATATATTTATAAATTGAATTTTAATTATTAATTACAATTAAATAATTTAAAAAGTAAGAATTATTTATTTTAATTTATCTAATTAGAGATACAAATAATAATTAAGACTTATAAAATATTATGATAAAATGTGATATATATATATATATATATATATATATATAATTATCATTTGTTCTCCTTTGTAAGAACACACAAATTATAACAAAAAATATTAATTAAACAAATTACTCTAATAAACTATCTTTAGTAAAATCACTGTTTTTAAAAGAATTAGAATATAATTATAATTTGGTCTCAAGTGTGTAAAGTTCAAATAAGCCTGCTAGATTGTTTGGGCCAGGATAGCTACTTATGGGCCTGCGGTTTTTTATTCGGGGTATATTAATCCCGCTCACACAACCTTTTTTTACTCTTCGCACTGTCTTTTCAAATTTGTTTTTCTTTCTAATACTTTTTATGAAAATAAATTTTTACAATGTAATACATTCTCGAACAATATACAAATTTTGTAAGAAATCATACTATGTTTCATAACGAAAATATTAGCATGATGTAAACAGCATTTTTTATGATAAAAAACGAGTAGCATTATGAAAAATAATTTACTAAAACGTTATAAATCGAAGATATTTTGATTGATGCATTGATAATAGAATATAAGGAGAAGAATGGTTTATTTTGTCATCAAAACAAGTACTGAAATTATTTATTTGACTTTGATTCAAATGGATAGAGTGAAAGCATGAATTGGAAACGGAAAGAGATGAAAAATGATTAAAAGGGAATATAAATGCGAGAGGTTATTATAAGCATTATAGAGATAGGTTTTGCGTGTTAATTGAATTGCAATAATTCAAAGGTTATAACGTTGTCACGTGGCTATGTCTACCTAAAAGTAATGGTAGTGTAACTTCAAAGGTTATTTAATGAGTTAAATTATTGTCATGTGGCAACAAACCAAAGAGAGAAAGCCAGCAATTTATAAGTAACTAGACTCTGAGTTTTAGTTCCATCTACTTCCACTCTTCCTACCTCATTATTCACTCTGTTATGCAAAACCAAACTTTATTACATTTCATTTTTTTTCCTTTTCCTATGCAGCACCTGATTCAATTGTTCTACGCACATTTCACAATTTTTAAGTTTGTCAAAACCAAAATAAAGACAAGAAGTAATTTAAACTCTAATAAACTTTTCTTCATAAATTTTAACAACATGCGTTCCCTAAAGTGACGGATAATCTTTTTAAGTATGCTGATTTTGGGTTTAATTTCAAAATTTAATAGTATTTAAGGCCAGGGAGGAGCCACGGTCTTTTTTTTTAATTTTATTTTAAAAAATATTATACGCCTCTTAAAATTTTATTTATTTGAATTAATTTTTTAAAATTAATTTTCCACATTTATTTAAAGTGGGATATATTTTCTTTAATATAGGGGACAATCGCTCAAGAAAACAGTCACTTTAAGTGTGTAATTTGATATTTTTGATATGTTATAATATTTTGTTGATAGGAATAATTGCTAGAGAAGTGTGATAAACTTCTTTAAAACAAATCAAAAAATTGCTATTTATTTGGATTATTTATGGTTGTGTGTGGATGATTTTATTTACTATGGAATTGGAATTTAAATTATTAATTTTTGTTTTATTTTTGAATTAATCTCTTTATTTATCTTTTATTCATGTGAAACATTTAATTATTGCTATACATCTCCATAAACACTTAGAGAAGGAGTCTGAGAGATCAATCTAATTGTTGTACCTATACGAGAAAGATTAAGTTTTAAATCACCGTAATAAAATTAAACTTTTGAGTAATCAATAAGTTAAACAGAATACATACATTTATTTGAGCATAACTAGAGAAACAATACTGATAAATTAAATTATATAATTTTTCTTTTCTTTAAACCGAGAGACAATACATATTAACTTATATTAATACTTTTAAAACAATATAAAAATAAAATAAAAATAATGTAAAAAGTATATTGTACGAAACTTAAAAATTCTCTATTATCTATTTTATCTTAAATATATTATTAGAGATGAAGTTAATAAAAAATATTGATTAATTAATATTTGATTCACAATACCTAACTTTTATTAATTTTTCTTTTTTATTTCTTAAAAATTATGAATAATTGTAAAGTAAAATATATTCTGTCTCGATGAATTGAATATTATTATTTAGGATAATAATCCACTTGTAAATTTCATGAACAAGAAAAATAGCCGAGCTTAGGCCGGAGTTGAAGAGAACAGAGATGTATAATGTTCTTTTTCTGGGGTTTTCTGCCTAATCTTTTCTTCAATATAGTTATTCATCTCTTGAATCTGAGCTTTGAGCTTTCTAATTTCCCTTTCTTTTGCGTGAGATAATTCCCCGAAGACAGTGGTCTTCCAATCTTCTTCTAACTTTGAGATTTCTGCGGAGATTTGTTTATAGTGTTTCCTCAAAGTAGAATTAAGATGTTGAAGCTTATCATCAGTTTCTTCTAGGTGCGTGGAGATCTTGTCTATCTTCTTATCGATTCTCTGTAAGATAAAATTCTGAGCTCGAGCATTTTCTGTCTGCCAGTTCAGGACTTCTTCTGCCTGACTTAATGGTTTGACATTCTCGTCTGGTCCAATTTCTTGGCAAACGACATGAGGTTTTGTCGTTGTCTTAGACATAGGGTCTGTGTTCCTTTCTAATCAAGGAAATTCTTCCTTATAAATATCACATTATTTTTTTCTTTATTTAGAGGATACAAACTTCAATAGCTTCAAGTGGTTTAGGTGCGAAGAGACTCTAGTGCAAAAAATTGAAGAATAATAGTTTTTTGACCATGAGTGTACACCTAATACCAAGTTGTTTTCTGGGAAAAAAAATTGAAACAAAAAAGTGAGAAAGGAAAAAAAATTAACTTAAACTTTATATATATATATATATATATATATATATATATATATATATATATATATATAGTTTTTGTTCATAATTTTGTTTAAATAACGTTTTAAAAAATTAAATAAAGTGATCCAATGGTATTTTTGAAGAAATAGTTTATATTCTCAATTTATACGTTTTATCATTTTGTTTTCTTTTTTTTTCCTCGCATAAATTACCTCAATAATTAATTAATAAGCGAAGTTAATATTTTGCATTTATTGAAAGAGTGATACTATTCTAATAAAAGTATATTAAAAAGACATATATTTGTCACAATTATTAATTTATGTTTAAAAATTTTAAGCTATAGATATTTTGGGACGAAAGTATAGTATAAGAAAGAAAGAAAAATTTAAATCAAAGTATTTTATATCATCTAAATTGATGATGCAAATGATTTTTATATATATAACAAAACTATTGCAATACAAACTGTTTGCGTATGTTATTTTGTGAATTCTACCTCGTTCGTGAAATTGATATGTATTCCATCAATGTTGAATTTTATTATGGAATTCGAACCAATAGTAAAAGGTATTTTTTATCAATTTAAATTAATATTATTATAAAAAAATTTATCGGTAACTAATTTAACTGAAATAAAATGTCAAAATTAAAAAAAAAAGTTGGAAGGTTTCCTTTTTGGTTGTTTCATGATTGTTGGCTCCTATACGTTATGTTGAAAGATTACAAAAACATGCTGAAATTATCTTATAAAGTTCTAAATTATTTTTATTCTTCCAAACACTTGATAACATAATATAAATTAAAATAAATTGTTTGGAATTTATCAAAAATAGTTAACATTATTATTATATAAAAATACGTAAATATTAAAAAAAAACAAAATTTTAAATTACTTGCATGATCATCCTGAAGGCTTAATCTGACTTTGACAAATTATCTGTCATGAAATATATTTGTAGTTTGGTACGGTTAAGACATTTTCTATTTTCCTTTTCATTTTCATACAGGGTGATGAGAGACAGTTTGATGCATTTGGAAATATAGGGTGACGATAAACTTTAATTTGTGAGAGCACCTGTTGACTCTTGAGGTATGTTTGCTTGCACATATAGTTCTGATGTCATAGGCAAAGGATATTAATTCAATAATATAATTTATCAAATAATTTCCAATTAAACTAACTCACCTATAAATTTTAAACTCTTAACTTATAATAAGTTTTAATTCAATTTGTCAAATACATAGGAGAATAAAGTATAATTTTTTAGTACATTATACATTTACTGTTTAAAAATGTATTAAATGTTTAAAATTATTAGGAAAAGTACGTATGTACGTTTAAATAGAGTTACTGATGGAGTCGTTTTAAATTAAAGTGAAGATAGATGTGTAGAGGAGCCAAAAAATGAGATAAGGAGAAGTGAAATATATATATCTATTATAAATGGTAAATAAATCATCAATGTTTCAAACAAGCAACAGATGTGGTGGAGCACTTTATATATGCACTCGCAAAATATTAATTCAGTATACATGTCTCTTATTTTCTTATGTGTATATTTCCCTATGCATGCATGTATATAAATGTGTATATATAAATAATATCTACACTATGAAAATAGATATGCTATGAATGATGATAGATATGATATGTGGTTATATGTAGCCTATAACTACCACTTTCCTTTTTTCTCCCAAATAATATGCATGTGATACCATAACACTGTAGAAAGATGCTTAAAGAAAAAAGGTGTCATGATCACCACCATCGCTTTCTTGAATGTTGTTGAATGAAGGACTAGGGCAGTTTCTGTCGTTGAGAAGTTCCTCTATCATCTGAAGAGCGATTCTCTCTTCTTCATCAATCTCTCCTCTCACCACTTCTTGACGATGATCTTTCGTAGCCGATGGAGAGTCATGGTGGTGGTGGTGATCGGAAGAAGGTGGAGAAAGAGAAGTGCTACTATCAGCCTGATGAGTCTCATTGTTGGTACTCTTCTTTCCCAGCTGAACCGTCATGACCCAATTTGAATCTGAACGTCTCCCAGCACGCTTTTGCCACACTCCGATGTGGGAGTTCTCTGTGTCAAGCCTCAAACAGGTCATAGAAGGTGAAGGCACCTTACCACATTTTCGAAGCTTTGCATGCAGGATTTCCTCGAGATCCTTCGAGGTGGAGGAGGGGCCGTCCTCACTGGCAATGCTCTTTGGATCACCTTCGGGGGTTTGAGTTATCGGGAAATTGGTTTTGGCATTTCTCCCACTCATCAGAATCGCGGCTTGATCATAGGCTCTAGCAGCTTCTTCTGCTGTTTCAAATGTCCCCAGCCACACCCTTCTCTTCCTGTTCCACAAACAACATAAAATATTATGACAAGTTGGTTTTGGAACTGGGGAAAAAATGCGGGGGAAAGGAATGAACTTACAGAAGTGGGTGGCGAATTTCGGATACCCATGAACCCCAATGGCGCTGCCTGACACCTCTGAACTTCTTTGTTTGTACCATGATGGTGTTAGAGTTTGTTGGGGTTGAGGGATATGATGGTGCAAGTGATTTTGGAGTGAGAAATGGCCAAGTACAGAAGGAACAGAGTACCAATAGATATAGAGGGAGAAAAGGAGTGGAGGGAAGCAAGTTTTCAACCAAAAGAAATCCACACTGGTGTCGGCTAACTAAAACGCTATAGTACAACAATTAAACATCTTTACCTAAATCTTTTCCTCTAACAGTCACCCTTCAATAAATGTTTGTGCTTGACTTGGTTGTGACTCGTGAAGTCGCTGGAATAGCTACTTAATTTCTTCATGTTTTCTCTTTCTATGGCACATGGTTTGTGCACACTGTACTACGTAGCGGCCCAAATAGTACACGGTTAACCAACCCAAGTGTTAAAGATGACATTCACTCGAGTTGCATAAATCAAAATGCACGTTGATAAAGTAAATTAAGTGTGATAATTCGAAATAAATTAAACCTCTAAGATCACAGCTTCTTCAATAAAACCTTTTGTATAAACTGGGTTATAAATGTGGATTTTATTTTTGAAGACTATATGAAAAGGTTGATAGGGGGCATTGCATAAAGTAGACGTGGAGGAACTGAGGGCGTGAAGAGAGAGTTTTAGGTGTAGCAAAATTGACGACACAACATGCTGCTATTATTGGGGGCTGATGAGTGGTGGTGAACTTGGGTCGGGTACAGGTGGTCACGGGCCTATGCTAGCACATAACACAATTAGAAAACCGATCCAGTATTTCCCATTCATCCCCCTGCTCCACCAATCCAATTCCATCATCTTCCTCGTATCACCCACCCGTAGAACCCGGATTCACCCAACCCAAGTCAAGTACAATTTTACCTTTTCAGTTCATTTTCGTTTAGTGCATCTAATTAAAATTTCAATTCAATAACCCAATTTCATTATTGAATAAAATATATAATAAAAATATTATTTAATTAATATTTTTATTATCTTTTTTTACACCCGCAAAATACCACATAATAAAGACATACGTTGAAATCTATTATTATGTATGCATCAGTTCATCACTTTAAGAGGGTGTACGTGATCTAATCATGAATCAAATACACGCATGTGAACGCCTTTTAATCTCTTCTATTTTCATATCAATCGCTTATTATTATTATTATTATTATTATTATTATTATTATTATTATTATTATTATTATTATTATTATTATTAGCCTAATTTCTTATTTTATTCTCAAAAAAATGAAATTCTTTAACAGACAACAAACTATATCAACAAAGTACAAGAGACAGGGAAATTAAAGTCATCATCAATCATGTTAATTGTAAGCATCCTTTCAACTTAAACATCACTTTTAACAAACATCATTGAAACATATATATGACATGACATTGTTTATATAACGCGTTGAAAAGCGACGTTAATACAGAAAATTAGTCAAGTTTTAATGGATGAAATTAATTGTGTGATCCATAAAATTAAGTTAAACACTTATTTTAACAATTTAAGTATTTAAGTGAATCTCTATATAAGATCTTTACATCTATGTAACGTTTTAGGGTCCATAAAATTAAAATGAATAATCTATTTTTAAATAACTGTCCGTTGTAGATACTTTAAAATATTATTTATACCTACCTGGTATTCTTTCCCCTCACCAATGTCGGTTGATGAAGAAAGGAGATCTAGCATTTATTAGAAAAATAACTTACAAAAAGCAAAATGCTAAGAGTGTATTTTCTTCCAAACCAGAGAAGCATTTTTCCCAAGTTTGGAATAATAATTTACATCTCTAATCTATAACAACTACGCTAATATAATAGCATTGTTTTTCAAACACTAAACGGATAAACACGCCAATTACATTAAAGAAAAAACCACTATCATTAATGTATCAACGTAAAGTGTGGGGGTTTAGTAACAAAGTACATTGGAGGCTATTATGCTAGTGATGATATATGATGATCTTACACCAACTTCAATTTAAAGTATTCTTCAGTCAAATGCAATAAATATAAATTGATTTGAAAAAAAATTAGGGTTCTCGTAATTGCTCTGTAGTTCTTCCCGTGGTTACTTTTCAGCTGGTTAATTTGATGTGTTGGGAGCCATTTGAATATTCCTCACATCACATCAGTTTGCAAGAAAGAAGGAAAAATAATTGTTCCATACGCCCAGTGCTATGAATTGAAGTGGGTAAGTTTTGTGGTGTTCTAACTAATTTTGGGAGTTTCTGGATGGATGGTCCCAATAGTGAAGGTGAAGCGAGTTCATACCTATAAACTTGGAAATCTAGATTCAGAACTAAAATTCACATGTTAGGTTGAAAATAATTCACCTTGGTGACTTGGTGTGATGCTCACGTGAAATTTCGATTATATCACAAATTCGTTATAACTCAGATGTGATACCCGTAGTGGCTTTTAAATAACATAAAAAATAAATCGTGTATGGTAACACATCTCTAATATTTCGATCTGAAATTCTTTAGGATACTAGTATCATTACAACTCATTAGTGCGTGTAAATTTTAAAAATGATTTTTTATATTTTTTTAGCTGGGCTTGTCAAACTTGGTACTTTTCACGATTACGACTTTTTGTCCACCTAAATTTATCACTTGCCATGGTAGCAGATGAGGTGGGTATCCTTACAAACAATTAGAGTTTAGCATTTGGTTTTTGAAGTTACGACACATAAAAAGTAATAAAAAAATTATTTGAATTCACCATGACATGAAACACTCCATTGAACCAATTTAAACCTGGTCTTTGAATATATAGTTGATAAAAATCCAACGCTTAAAAAAAGAAAAATGACTACACATGTTTGTGTGGGTTTGATGGTTTGGGAGTATGTAAAGTGAAAATGGAGTAAATTATGATGAAGTGTTTTAATGGCATGCCATGATAAGATTTTAATTTCATACTTTTGTACAGTTGGATACGGGTTTATAAAGGCGTGCTATCTCATTAAGTTTATATAAATGTATAAGGGCCACACGGCGACTTTTCTTGAACCATTAATAAATTGAGTATACTCTAAAATAAGAAAAAACATACATATCTCACATACTACTATGTCGACTCTCCCAAAGGTATAATTCAACTAGTACTTTAATTAATGCATTAGTTGGGTGCTTTAAGGAAAAGGAAGGTAAGTCCAAGAAGGAGGGTCGTTATGCATGTTACAACTTTTCTTTTAATCATTACAAAAGCACAACCTCAAAACTTACGTACTGGGAGTTGAGTTTTACCCAACATACTGTTTATTCAAAACTATGTGATCGAATCCTTCTTGTTTTTTTATCCAATATCAGTGTCATAATCCGATTATAGAAATATTTTTCATTGTTTCTTTTTTTCAAAATTATTGGTTTTATAACATTACAATTTCATTTTTCAAATTTATTTTGTGTTCCTTTTCTCTCCTTTTATTTTGACATCCAAATAAACAGGAAGAATGTTCTTGGTCTTTTGCTTTTGTTCAAGAGTCTCTTTCTATAAACATCACTCTTTCGCTTTCCACTCCTTCCCCTTTTAATACATGAAAAATAGCAAAAGGATCAGAAGGTGTGACCACAAGGGGAGGTGTACTCAAAATTTGAGATTACCCTAGCAAAACCCCAAACACCTCCACTATGCGTAATGTTTCTAAAGCCCAACAGGGCCCAGTCCAGTTGGCCCAACACATTTCTTAATAGGCCCATTTCACAAATCTGAAAACTGTGGCGCGCGCCTACCTGCTATTCAAACTTATCTGCTCCCATAACTACCATTCTTCTTCTGAGTAACTAACTGAGTTTGATGTCCGAGTCATGGAGACGAAGAACCCATTTTTCATCTCTCCCCCTTCCAAACTAAGTATCCTACTGTTTCAACTCGGTCGAGTCCTCTCTGGAAACTCGCTATTAACTCACCCCCCATGCTCAAAGGCAAGCTCAAGCTTCCAGCTCCGGACAAGGTTCGGAGGGTCTTTCCTGATCGGCTCGGAAGCTTGGTCGCTGGATTCGAAGAAAAAGACAATGAAATCGAAGCAGTTGAATTCGAACTCGATTCCGGCGAGGAGCTCGAGCCGATTCAACCCGGCGAGTTAGGGTTTCATAGAAAAAGTGATGATGGTGATGAAGCCAAGGCTTATGATGACAATGGCCAAATAATTCGGCAGAGACCGAACAGAGATACTGTTACTCCGGTTTCGGTGTTGAAATCCATTTCGGACGAGGAGAAAAGATCGGATCTGGAATACGAGGTTAGTCCTGTTTGGAGAAGAAAAATAGAAATGGTTTTGATTTTATTTAGTTTGTGCCCTTTATTGCTCCTTCATTTACCCCTTTCTTTATTCAGCTTTCTCAAAGGGAGATTAATTTGGAAAAGTTGCAAAGAATTGCTAGTACTGGTATTCCTGATGGAGGAGGTTTGCGTGCTACAGCTTGGAAGGTAATGTTAGAAAAGAAAAATATAGAAATCTGGATCCGCAGAAACAGATAGCGGTATTTCACATAGCATTAAATACAAATAAGGTTTATAACAATCTAGTATTAAAAGAAAGGTCAAATATAACAGATGAAAAGTTTCGAGAGAAGTTCGGATCAAATTGCAAAGTGTTTATTCTAGGAGAAAAACACTCCCGTTGCACATATATTTTAGATATGATGAGCTCCTTTCGCAAAATAACGAGCAACAAATGCTCTAAAATATTTTTTAATAACAGCAAATTTTGTACAACATGGCAGTGTTTTTTTTCGTTGTTTCTGTATGTGTATCTGCATATATTTTTCTCAACAAAGAGCTGCATACATAATAGAAACCAAACGTGCAGCCTCCTCATACCCTCAACGTGCAACAAAAGAGAATATGAAAAAAAAATCTATAACATGTATAAAACAAAGAACTTCCAAGGAATTAAGAATGTTAAAAATAAATTGGATTGATTTTATACTTTAGAAATGAAAACATTTTTATTTTAAATTTTAAATATAAATATCTAGTAACAGGTAATTATTCCATCGCGTCAATATGAGATTTAGACAAAACACCTATTTTTTTCTTGTACTTGAATTTAGGTTATATTTGGCCGAATTCAAAAGTTAGAAACTAATTAGCCATTAAAGGGACTCGAAAATTGAACTCCGGATCACATATATAAGAGATGTGATCATCGATCTACCAGTCAGATCACACCAAATCGACATATTAGAAAGTAGACCTTAATGGTTAGAAAACTTACGATAGTGAGGATATAATCTATCCTATGTTTATGACTTTCCATGCCAATTGAAGATATTAGATTAATGTTCCAGTTGCAAAAGTATAAAATCCTTTGATTGTAGTTATGTTTGCATACAAGCAGTTGATTGTCCTGTTATGATTTCCACAACCAGCTACTATTGGGTTACTTACCATCATCTCATGACCTGTGGGACAAGCAACTAAAAGAGAATAGACAAAAATATGCTAACTTGAAAAAGGACCTTCTCCGGAATCCGGTAATACTGCTGATTCATACATTTTCACGTAAGCAGTTATATTTATATCACTATTTATTTGGCTATATCTTGTGTGATTTCTATTTTAGCTCTTGCTTTCGAGTTTTCACTGATAATGTTGTTAAATCTAAGACAGTCGGAACAAATGTGGAAAGAATATGAGGAATTAAGTTCGACTAAACGGAACGAGGAGAATGATGTTGATGGTCCCCTTAAGAGACGTCAAATTTCTCATGAAGATCACCCTTTGAGCCTCGGTAAAGCTAGCCTCTGGAGTCAATATTTTCAAGTAAGTTTTTCCTCAGATTATAAAGTTACTTTTTACTGAATCCCTTCAGAATAATGAAGTTTATACTTATCACTGTCTGTCCTTCTAGCATACAGAGATAGTAGAACAGATAGATCGAGATCTGCAGCGTACACATCCAGATTTGCCATTCTTCTCAGGGGAGTCATCATTTAGTTGCAAAAATAGGGTAACTAACTGCCTCCCAAAAAACTATACAGGTTTTCTGTTAATTTATTGTTTTAGTTTAGTTATCAAACCATCCTAATTATTTTTCCAGTTTTCAGCGTAGAGGATTGATTCTAGGGGTTTTGACTCAGACTTTTTTTGATACTTTGACTGTAGGAAGCGATGAAGAGTATTTTTCTCCTTTTTGCAAAGTTAAATCCTGAGATCCGTTATGTACAAGGAATGAACGAGGTCTTGGCACCAATATACTACGTCTTTAGTACTGACTCTGACAAGCAAAATGCTGTAAGCATTCTGTATTATGTGATTTGTGGCAGTTCCCATTGCTTTTCTTTGGCTAGGGTAAATGCATCGTGTATATGATGACATAGAACGTGCGCATGCATTCAGCAGGAAACCAAAAGTAATGGTTGAAGGAGGGTTTCTTGTGTTTTTAAGTTTAAATTTGAGTATATATATCTTGCTTTCATAATTGCTTACGATGCCACTGAGGCTTCTTCTGTTTTCATCATCCATTGCAGAAGCCTGAAAATTTTACTGCCTCACAATTCGGTGTTTAATTTCTTTCTGTTTTAGACATGAACCAACACCAACCAACTCAGCAGATGGATTATTAGACTTGGCATTTGAATTACATCGCACATTTATGTTCTTGAAGATTGTATGCAACATAAATGAACTATAATTTTGTCTTTTATTATTAACTTTCTATTAGGCAAATGTTGAAGCAGATAGTTTTTCTTGTTTTGTCCGAATCTTGGGCGACTCAGTGGATCATTTCTGCCAACAATTTGATAATAGTTCAAGTGGCATCCTCGCTACTCTTTCTCGCTTGTCAGATTTACTAGAAGTAAATGATGAGCAATTATGGCGTCATCTTGAATTTACAACAAAGGTATAGCCTTTAAACTTTTCACTTCCACAATCAACAACTCGTACAGTTCCATTCTGTTCAAATTGTTGTCGTTGAACCTCATGAGCAGGTCAAACCACAATTCTATGCATTCCGGTGGATTACACTGCTACTCACGCAAGAGTTCAAATTTGAGTCTATCTTGAGAATATGGGATACACTTCTGAGTAACCCTTTTGGTGTTCAGGCATCTCTCTTTTAACCAAAATACTCGGCAATTAGTACTCAATTTAGAATATTAAGCGTCGTGCTCACTTAGTCATTTTGTTTAATAATTTATCTGGCTAATATCTTTTTTGCAGGATATGCTTCTCCGGATCTGTTGTGCAATGCTACTTTGCGTGAAAAGCAAACTGCTAAGTGGTGATTTTGTGGCCAATTTAAAACTTTTACAACACTACCCCGATGATGTCAACCTAGAATACCTCCTTCAGGTAGCCAAGGATATTAGTCCTGACACATCTTATTATTGTTTATCACTTTGATTTATTATGCTTGTACTTTTTGTATAATCTCACCAAACTTCAAGCTTGAAATAATGGATACCTGGCACAAGAAACATCCATTGCAAATATTAAGGATAGAGTTCAAACCAGAAAGCGTCATTTATGTACTGAAGCTGCTAGAATTTCAGATTTTCTAAATACTTTAATATTATATATAATATTTTTAGGTTGAAATTAATGATAGTGTTTATTTTATGAGAGAGTTGGTTAGATGATTGATTAGTAAGTAGGTAGAAAATAGTAATAGTCTTATTTGTGGAGATTTTAGGTATTTTTAATGGACCAATTATGTTATAATGGTGACTGGTTACTATATTTTTTAATATATATTTTCTAGTCAGTAATAAATTAGATTTTTCTTACTTCTTTCATCCTGTATCTATATTAGAAATTTTCCTCTATGTTTTTTTTTTATATCTTCTTTTATTATTTTTCTACTTCGACTTTACGGCTTTGTTTGATACACCGTTCTACCTTGTACAAAAAATTGAGAGTTTAAACTTAAAAAAATAAAAATGCTTGTATTAGAGGATTTATGATGAGTTAAGGAGAAAGTTTTTATGACCACATGTTTTATATTTCTCTTCTTATAAAAAAAATATTTACCATTGTTTATTATCTCAGATATATTATCTTATTTCATATTTTTTTCCTATACTAATATTTTTCTACTTAATAATAATAATTATATGTCTATATTATATATATATAAGTTTATATTTAATTTTTTTTCACTAATATAATCCTCATATTTCTATTGTTGAATTATTTTGTATTATTTACATTTATTTTTAATTATGTATAAATTTGCATTTCTATTATGAATGTATATTAATTTTTTTACATATGTATATAATTATGTGTCCACCAATTATGTTTTTATTATGATTAATTTACTTATAATATAATTTTATAAATAAAATATTTGGATTATAAAATTTTGAAAAATATATAATCGAATAAATGAATTTGTATAATCGATTACATATTATATAAATATAAATAATCAACTATATCAAAAAATATTATTGTATTTGTTATATATGAAATTAATGTTGATAGCATATGTAGTTATAGTTATATGTGATTTTATAATTTTTTTATCATAATAAAATTAAAATTATATTTAAGTATAAATTTAATTTTTTTTAATAATGTAGCTGATTTTAATTTTTATTATGAATTCTTTCATTATATTTTATTTTTTAATTAGTATTTAAAATAAAAAATTATACATTATTTATAACTAATAATTTAAATATTATTTTTAAATATTTTTAATAATTTTAAAATTTGAAAATTAGTTTCTTTAAATTTAATTATGTTTTATCTTTAATTTATATTCATTTTTATTAAATTTTAAATAAAAAATAATTTAATAATTTATTAAATTATTTTATTAATATATTTTTTATTAATTCAAATTAATCAAATCAATTAAAAACTTTTCTTTTAATTCTCTATATTTTTCATTTTGTTTTTCTTAATCCAAATAATCTTAATTTTTTTTTTCATTCCATGAAATTCAAATCCTTAATCTGAAGACAAGCTACAAGAAAAACAGCAGAAAGAATACAGGAATTTTTTTTTCAAAAATACAGATTGGAGAGCATTGGCTCTTAACTTAATATTAATTGACTAAAGAATGGAAATAAAAACTGGTTATTTTTGTGAACCACTTGAAAAAAACCCAAATCCCAAATTTGGTGTATTCTATTTCTAGCTAATTTGTGTCTCATAAAATCACCAATCATATATTTCTCTTTCCTAATTTCACCAATTGAAAATTGCCACATCAATTAAAGCAAGCTCAAGAACTACCGTCTTGGTCAGAAATTTTGGAAGGTAAGAAACTTAGTTCTGGGAAGAATGGCGTGAGATTCGGGACTTCATTTCTCAATTTGCTTTTAACACCGTCACTCTTTCATGTCAACCTGTCCCCACTGACCGCAAGCTCATTTCAAAACACTTCAATGTGATTTGCCTCGGCATACAACTATAACTAAGTCTCCAAAAGAATTAGAAATCGATATAAAGTAATTTATAAATATTCTTTCTTTTTTTTATTTATGAAAGAAGTTTTTAAGATAAATTAATAATAAACTTGAATTTTAAAATAAATAATATCTTAGTACATATTAAATTTTTTTAAAACGAATAATATATCAATTTTAATTAAATTCAAAATACTTTTACTTTCGGAATATATGAAACTCATTTATTACCACCAGTCAAAGTAAACTTTATATATATATATATGTAAATTTGTTTTTTCATACCCATTTAGTTTAGTTTAAGACTCATGGATTTAAGATTGATTGACATGTAGATTTACGGGCGAATCTGTTTTCAAAATATTTATAAAATAAAATAAAAAGAATGTTATTTTATTAAAATATTTACATATATTATTCTATCTAATTTTATTACTTAAAGAAAAAAAAACTAATTTTATTTAATCTTTAAATTTAAAATTGTTCTTTTATTTTAGTAGAAAGGATCAAAATTTCATTTGATAGAGTCGGACGACGTCTAAAAACACAACTAATTTATTGTCACAATTTTCCTATTGACCCGATACATCAGACTAATAGTTTTTTTTTTTTACTTTTTAACTTTTCTAACTTATTAAGCTGTGGTGTATTACATTTAGTGTGGAAACAATAGAATTTTAGTACTTAAATCATGTATATTTTTATTAGAATTTTAGAGAGATGTAATAATGTTAAATTTATTTTTTAAAATGTACGAAGGTTTCGTGCGTACCAAGACTGATTTTATTATGTCAAAATTATGTCAATCTTTAACGTGCGAAACTATAATTTGTAATTGATTTAAGAGGACAATAAAAAAACTTTCAGTAAAATGAGTAAAAAGTTATGTTCTACAAGTCACTCAAGTTTATAGAGTGCACTTACATGAATATCTTTCTGTCTACTAGAGATCGTTCCCTATCTTACAGAAAGTCTTTATGCACGCTGACCCTATTCAATTTAATCGGAACTGTTTTCCTATTTGATAGAATCATACCTATACTAAATTTTCGGGTCCTTATCTCATAAAGTTTCTTCCTTTTTTATTTTATTATATTCAAATTTTCTTTTTATTTTATTATATCTCATAATTTACTCAATATTTAAGATATTTTCCATTAAGTCTCATTTAATCAATTTTACATAATCTCAAATTTTATATTAGTTGTATTTTTTGTGCTAGAAAAAATATAATAATATTTCATTTAAAAATATATTAATTAAATAAAATCAAACTCTTTAATTTAATCAATAATATTTTTCTATTTAACAAAGATCAAAATACTAATTAATGTGTAACTTCATAGGTTCATTATTAACCAATAGTAAATTAACTCGTTAATTTATTAATTAAGGTTAATATCTAACAATACTCCTTAATAATTAAGTAACATGAAGTACATTTTACTTTAGAATCACTAGAAGATTCATATAATATTTTTTTCATCTTTTCAACTCTATATTATCTATAGAATATGATATAATTGTCAAATTCTAATAAGTTAACATGTGATAAATAACTTAAGAAACTCTTTTTTTTTATTTATAATACCATGGCCAAGGTTTTTATTTTGTTTAGAGTTCAAACACATTACCAATAATTGATGAATTCTTTCTTGATTAATCATTAATCCTACAAAAATTTAATTACATCGGATAATCATTTAACTAACATCATGAAGAGTTAGGTGTTCCATATCAAAATATAATAAATAACTTGTTAATTACCATGATAATCTCAAATATAAAGAAATTATATATTTTTCTTCAAAAGAATTTCCTATTGACATTTCAAAAGTAATATTAACCATTAGGAATTCTCCTTCAAATCAATTTAATGGTCATATCTTCATATGCACTTATTATATGTGTAATTTAAAAAAATATATTTATTAATCTTTATCTCGATAAAGACCAAGTACACACATATTGACCTATCCTGGATTAGTGATATCTTATTCTCAATAATCCTATGATAAAAAATAATTTAGATAAAAATTATATATAAGACTTATTTCTCATTATTATAATCTATATTATAATAATAAGTCTTTAATTTTTAATCAAGGACCTCATCATATGAATCATGTAAATATGATAATTAATAAAATAAGTAATAATAAACACAATTTTATTACTACTAACATGACATATATGATCTAAGAGATATTTCAAAGCCAACAATACTTTGAATTGTATTTTACTAAACTCGTCATATTTATCACCCAAAAATTTATTTATTTTTATGATCTCATTGTTAATAAAATGTTAATAACAGAACATTCCCAAGATGGGGTGAATTGGATTTTTAAAAATCTTTTGAATTTCTAATCAATTATTAGAGAACTTTATCTCGATAATCAATTACAACAAAATATCACAAGTGTTCGGAAAACAAGAATACCAAGATAGGAAAAAAAAGAAAAGGCTCACAAATTTATACTGGTTCAATTTTTTTTTAATCTACATCCAATTTTAACCAAACAACCTTAGCTTGGAGTTTTTTACATTAAAGTAGATTATAACCTAATCAAATGATCACAATACTTGAAAATGTTTTAAATCAAGATGTCAATCAAGATCACAATACTTAAAAATGTTTTACCTCACAATTTTCAAGTTATACTCATGTAACTAGTCTCACATATATCAAAACTTAAAAACAAGATACAAAATAAAGATATAAAACAAATTCACCTTATATTTACAGAAATATGCACCCAATAGCCAAACAACCTTTCTTTTAAATTGATCTTTAAAGTCTTTTGCAAAATTACGCTAATTTTTTATACCCAAAATGTTCTTTCTAATTACTTTAATTTGTATTTGAAATGTGATATTGATAGAAGAAAGTTTGCATCCTTTTATAGAAAGAAAACTGTTGTAACTGTCACTAATACTTGATTAGCATATTTATCTAATCGATTATTTGAGTGCAAGTGATAA